CACGCGGTCCGACAAATACTGGGCGCCGCCTACCAAGACAATATAATCGCGGACGCTAACTAATATAAATAAACTATTTAATTTATTTCAGTTAGACAAATAAGAGCAAATAATCCAATTATCATGCATTTATAATATTCCAAACACATAAATATGTATTCAAAATATATATGTCAAGCAAATTCATGGATCAAAATAATGTGCTAAAATGTTTATCAAAATTTCTAAAATTTTGAAACATGCTTGAAGCTTTATTTCGTTCATTAAATATTTCAAAAATATTTAATAGTCATTTGATAATAGTTTTAGTTTGAAATATACTCCAAGAGTTAATTTCAATTTTAGGGATTTTTCCAAAATTTGAAACAAACAAAATACCAATTATTTCAACCTGTTTCAAAATTCTGAATTTTGTGAAAAAGCCAAACATGCCTAACAGGTTTTAAAAATAACAAACAGGCCCAAGGCCATTTTCGAAAATCACAAACAGGCCTCTGACCTTTTTAGAAATTTCAAATTGACCCCAGAGCAAAATTGAAATAAACTGAACTTTCTGAAGATTGCAAAATAGCGCTACTATTTATCAAATTTCCAAGACCAAGTCCCTGGCCCTAATTTCCTTTTCTCCCGTCAGTTCAACACTTGCCCGCCGCCGTCTCGCCGTCCACCCCGTCGCGGATTCCCTGTGCGGCGTCCATACCACCGGCGACCTCTCCTAGTCGGTCAAACCGCAAATCGAGGTCGTTAATTAATTTTTTTTTTTAAATTATGCATCCGCCATTAATGGCGGACCTTCGAGCTCCAAGCTCGGTTTTCCAGTGTCCAGCCATAGAGACGCCGAGTGCAACAGTGGTGGGAGGGACGATGGCCGACGGTACGGGATTCCAAATCCCAGAATTCCTTTCCCCTTTTTTTTTTTTTTTTTTTTTTTTTTATGTTTCCGCCACCCAGCGGCAGCGGCCCTTGGCCGCGCGTTTTTCGGCGGCTAGCCTCAGCGGCGACAATCGACGACAGAAGCGTATCGGTCGAGATTGGGAGATTGGCAGACGGGCGAGAGTTCATGCAAATCCCAGATTTTGTGCATGCAATTACGAACAGACCAAAATTAAATCTGCTTGATTTGGTTTAATTAACAATAAAACAATATTAATATTAAACTAAACCAAAACGCAAATCCCATATTTGGTAGCAGCGTACAATTCCAATCGTTGTTTTGTTCGGCAGAATACAATTCCAAATCCCAGATCTGGTGAATATTCACGAACAGATCCGTACGAACAGAACCAAGAACTTAATGAAAATTAATTTAAAATTAATTATCCTAAAATGATTAACACATATTTTGATCCATGTAAATCCAATTTAAAATCAAATAGCTATGAACACCGACTCGGTGCTCTGATACCACTGTTGGATTTCAGTCGTACGAATCAATCGCACACGCAGCGGAATTTTAAAATTTTTCTACCAACAATGAAGATCCGGCTATAGCTATTCGATTTCATCATAGATCTGCGAGAACTTACAGTTTAAGCTTTGCCTTCAACTATGGTATCCACGCAATCCAGATCCTGGTGCACGATCCAACGCAGTGAATCCTTTTCGGTGAAAACGCTAGAAATCTTCAGTCAGAAAGCAAGAGAGAGTTTTTGTGTTTTTACGGCGTATCTCAATTTATCTGATCTAATCATCTGATGAAGAGATAACCACCTATTTATAATCAGGCTAAACCTAATTATATGGGCTTTAGGATATAGCCCAATAGGCAATTAAACCTAATCTAATTAATGATTTAATTAAGTCTAAGTCCAATTAAACTTAATTATAAATTTTCTATCTAATAGAAAATAATCTCATTACTATAATTAAATATTTCAATCTAATTGAATATTTAACACTCTCGATTCACTCTTAGTCGGAAAATGGATTGCATATTGTGTGACCCTATAGGCCTTCATATATTGACATAAATCTAATTTATGATCCTTACTAAACTCCTAGACTGCGTCGAAGGACGAACTCAAAATATGAAGTACGTTTACATAAAAAAAGCAAACAAACCTTTAGTGTAGAATTCAATAGTGATACGGTCCCTTCATTCACGACCCACTCGATTAAGTTTAAGATTTGAACGTGTGTCTATCCAAACAGCTTAATCATTTTATCTCATCTCACAGTTTGATTTCAATTAATTATATTTGAACACCATTTCAAATTTAATCACGTGCATTGTCCAATGGCTTTATCAACCCAATAGAGAGAAAACGAGTGTTCTCTCGAAACTATATTCGAGGAATGAATCCTATCTTGGCTCAACTACTAATTTCATGTATATCGTGACCTACCAAACACAAGCCCATCTACCCACAAGGGCGTATGCTTTGGACTAGGTCTAAGTAAATCACTCAATACATGAATTGCGTATTGACCTCAAGCCAAAGGACTATTACACCATTCCACACACCGATACTCTCATAGACACATAAACAAATGATTTATCGGTAGGGTATACCAATACTCTCCAAAATATCCATGTGTTCATCACGAATAACAATTATTCAGAGTAGTGAGACATACCATATTCTCAATGAATGTGATGCATACCACATGTCAATCTATCATATCTCTTTTCTTAATGATCATCGATTGAGGTAATTTAAGAGTTATACTCTATCAATTAACATCTCACTCTGTTAATGACAGTATTAACTTAAGGGAGCCATTAATTAATAAATTACAGACAATCAAAAGAATTCATCAATGCAAAACCATGAATATCATCAAATATAATATGAATGTAATCAAGTACATTTGTCCCAAAATTGAATGTCTCTAAGACACATACACTTACAATCCACATAATACTCCATAATACTTTGTGCTTAATCCAAGTTTTTAATTATTCAATGAGTATAGCAAAGCGAAAAGACTTCTTTATCTGACGTACTCTTCCTATATTCACATAAATTGATTCTCTCTTTAAACCAAAATGTGGACAGGTCATGCTCAATCTTTATAGGCGTAATAGATATAAAAGAAATTAATTTTCATCAAGTAGATAAAATTATTCGCTAAAGTTGTAATGGGTAATTTTTTTATATTTTTGATTACCTGTCATTGTTTCACTATACTTTTATTACATCATTTTTATCATTTTAGTGAGGAATATGGTGATTGTTTTATATTTGTAAAGACAAATGGTTTCATTACATTTTTGTCACATCATTATTATAATTCATGTATTGAAGAATATAACCAACCAAGTGATACGCGGTCGGAATGATCAACAACAGAGCACGAGGAAAAAGTAACAGTTTTAGAGCCAATTTGTGGACAATAACCACATTCACAGGTGACGAATGTTATTACAGATACTTGACATGAGTTACTCTTTCAGAAATCCGAGTGTTAGCAATAATGGAGACTTCCAAATTTCCATCATGGTGGACATTCTGATCACTCTTTGCTAATTTTACTATTAACAATGGAGATGTTGAATTAGAAGACACTCAAGACACAACATATGGTACCCAGATTTATGCCTTACAAATTATAAGCTATGATTTAGCCAACTTGAACCTTGCCGAAGATTATTATTTGGAGAAAGAATTCAAGTGGAAAATAGCTTAGTTATGGAAATTTCTCATTATGGTAAAGCTTTGATAAAATGTCCTGCTGAACATCCTAAACAAACTCTTCATTTATATAACATGCTTCACGTTCATTAACTAAATAGTAACCTTATATATGTGGCTCAATTTTCTAAGGATAATGGAGTCTACTTTGAATTTCATCCTCATTATTTTCTAGTGAAGGATCTCACCACAAACAAGCTACTTTGTTAAAGGTTAAGAACAATATATAGTCGGTCTTTCTATCTCCAAGACAAGAAACAAAAATTCCCCAAATATCTCTCTGAATATCGGCACCTCCCCACAGCAGAGGCCTCTGCGCCACTGCTGCATCCGTCGTCTCTGGCCCGCGCGCCTTGCCTATCGGAGTCCCAGCTTCCTCTCCCGTTCGTAGTGCTTCGCCTCTTAATCGGTCGCCTATCGCAGGTTTGGTGCGGGTTGACGACGTCTCTTCGGCAAGACCGAGCTGTGGGCTCCGATAGTCCTTTTGTGGATGTCGGGGCTGAGGTCGAAGCCTTCTTCTCCATCGTTCCCCTTCTCCTCTGGTGATGGGCTGAGGGGATAGCCGACGGGGTCGGGCTGTGGTCCGTTCGTTCCATGGGCTCGGGTCATCAGTGAAGTTTGGGGTGGATTCGGTGAGGTCCTCCAGTTGCTGGTGTGGGGTCGTCCACATGGGAAAGGAGTTGCGCCTGTTGGTTTCGGATTATGCTAGGCGTAGAAATATTGTAGTTTTTGGATTTTCGACTCGTGTCTGTCTCTGTCCGAGACGGTGGTTGGTCACGGGTGTCAGTGTTGTGGTTTAGTCCGGGGTGGCTTACCGGATGGGGGAAGAGTTTTATTCTACTATTTAGTGTGTTTCGTTTTGTGCTTGTCTTGCTATTATTTTTTTATGTTTTCTCTTTATTCTTTATTATTGGAGTTAGAATTTTCCACTTGTGGGAGCTTAATTTATTTATTTTGAAGTTTGTGGGTGTGTTAGTGTAGTGATTCTAGGTTACAGGCATTCTCGTCTTGTATGCCTCCCTCTGAATTTAGCCGATTGGTTGCTTCAGTATCATGGCTCCCGAAAGGGAATGGTAGAACAATGTTAACTACCTTAAAAAGAGCCATTGGTTGTCTACTGAGAGACCACTTGCATGCAAGCATAGACGCTGAGTGTAGGTTTAGCTACCTTGCATTCTATGGCTAAGGACAGAGACAACCGCGGGCACCTCAATGAGGTAATATTTCGATGGACTATGGTTGCATTCTGGTTGACTTGTGAAATCGTTCTTGACAGATTCTCTCTAAGACTAAGAAGGACAAAAGCTAGAGATAAGGGTAGCGGTGAGGGATTGATTTATCATCCTTCTTTGTGTGCATATATTTATGGGGGCACGCGACAAGAAGAGGGGAAGGGTTTTCCCTTTTCCTGGACCTTTCCCCTTCCCCACCCACTCGTTGGGGATCCCTCTTTGCCTGCATGTAAGACTGAGGGGTAAGAGCAACTTTATGTGGATTCCCAACTAGAAGCAATCAAGTTAGAAAGCAGGAATGGCGCAGAACCAGTTTGAATGGTATTTCGGCTAGTTAGTTGTTTGTAAGAATGTGTTTTTTATTAATTAATCAATCTTTTCAG